GCATAGAACAGATGGCCTGTGTGAGTGTGTGTGTGTGTGTGTGTGTGTGTGTGTGTGTGTACAACCCTTCTAACTTGGCCACAAATGTAAAAGTTGTTAATTTCATGCATGTCTTTTACTGTTTTTAAACTTTGAATATGATAGTCCATGCCTTAGAGAGAGGGGTGGGAAATCTGAGAAGCACTGCTTTTGTAGGAAGGAGCGGTTACTGATTCCACGTCTCAGAAGAAACTGAGGCTCAGTGTGGTGAGCTCATGTGACCGTTTACATATGTAAGTACCAAATCTTGGACTTAAACCCAGTCTGTTTCTGTAGACATGGGAAAATGTCACCATAGACATGCTGCCAGTTTTGTAGCAAGGTCCTTCCTAATCTGACTCTGGCCATGGATGTGGACCACATGACCATTTCCAAAATCCTGTGACTTGGTATGTGGGGGGAGGGGAGGGGCGCAGGTGGCTTTTCCTTGTAACATACCTGGAACCCACCAAAGCTTCAGAGATACATGATGCTGCTGGAGGTAGGGAGAGGGGTAGCTTGAGATAGCTCTGCTCCTTCCCTTGCAGATGTGTAGGAGTCAGGAATACCCTGGATAGAGCAGTATATCCATTGCTTCTACCTACCCTAAAAGAACATAACCAAAGCAGTGTGTGTAGAAATACATCTTTCCCTGATACACAAAAGACTCTTCCTGTGTAGTAGTCTTGATCAGTAGTTGGGAGCAAGTCTTCTCAGCTTGTACCCTGTGGGACTCCGTAGTTCTTACCTCCAGAGGCCACCATAGCGAGGGGAAGGAGAAAGTCCCTCCTGGACTTCCTCCTCATTCCACCGGCAAGAAAGAGGGACAGAGAGAACTGAGCCCTGGGTTTGGAGAAACAAAAAGACCGACTCACTTTCCATATCCTCCTTATATACTAGATCTGCTGCCAAGACAAACTACCCTATTCAATGAGATGAGTGGCTGAGAATGGGACACACTTGAATGTGTAAAACAGATGTGTCTTTGCTTTCTCTAGAAACATGTGCAGGTCCCCTGCTGTCTGTTTCTAGAGGCCCTCACACCTGAGGAAGCAGCAGGATGTGGGTCCTGGTGCTCTTACTTTTGTATCAGAGCTGATAAGCAGAACTCCATGTCCCTAGGAAGTTACTGATAGAACAGGAATGAGATCCTAAGTCCTGGATATCTTGTGCTGTGTGCTTATGCTTTTTACCTGGAAATATTAAACATCCAGGATACTATAACATGACTACATGTTGAGCAGGTTTTCATGTAATAACCAGGAAAATTTATCACCATTCACAAAATGATTCCCTAGGAGCAGGTAACCTGGGGTCCTCATAATCACAACAATGGTAGTGGTCATAGTTACAGAAATGTGGCAGCTTTGCTTCATTTTATTATAAAAGTAATGCACAAATGCTTCTTACAGTGAAAAATTCAAACATAAATCTGTGTAGAGTAAAAAAATTAAAAATCTTCCTACTTTATCATTCTGGACAAAAACACATTAATCATTTTGGATTATATTCTTCCAGAAACTTTTTAATGCATTTCATATGTTTATATGTATGTTTGTGTACATGTACATATATGCCCACACCTCATCCATACCTTTGAGTGATTCGTGTGCATGTTTGTATGTATAAAGAGACTGGATTTTTTTTTTTTGCTTGGTTTGGTTTAGTTTTTATATGTGAAATTTTATGATATGTACTCTGAAATTTATTAGAGATCTTTCTTTGAAATTTTGAAGGGGAGACCCATAGCGACCCCTCATTCTTCTAAACAGATGCATGGTATCCATATATATTACTTCAATACTTTTCCCCTGTTATTTTTGAGTATTTATTTTACAAGCAGTGCTGGAGTGAATATTGTGGTACATGTATCTCAGTACTCATCTCGAGGATTTTGACAAGACAGACACCTAGAATTGGAGTAGTTATCTTGAAAGATATGCTTATTTTAAATTTTGATAATGAATAAAAAATGTCATCCCCAAGATCTGACTAATTTTGATTCCCACCATCTGTGTTTGAGATTATCCATTTCTTCTCTGTCACATCACTTTTAGAGATTGTTGTTAGACGTCTTATTTCATTGGTCAATTTTATCTATTAATTAACAGCAGTCTTTTGAGTGAAAGATGATAGTAAATGATTCTAAATAGCCCATGCTGTTTTCAAAAGACATTTTTCTGGCATGTGCTAGTTGTGAGCTGGGCGTTGCCTATCCTTGTGCTTCTGCTTTTGTAAATGTGGCTGATTTTTGGTCCCAAACTCACTAATAGCCGATCCCCATCCTAGGAAGCTTGAGGAGTTTGAGGGTCCTTTGTACAAAAACATACTCTATCTAATCTTCAGCCTCGATTCAGTCACTACGTGCAAAGCACCTGTCACTAAATCATTGGACTTGGTTCGCCTGCAATGCAACCTGTTTCTCTGAGAGAAGAAATGGTGCTCATTTGAGTGATGCTGAGTCCTCGGCCCTCTGACTCATTGCCATAGACTGAGCCTTCTATTTCTTGGAAAATTGTGTGAAAGGGATGGAGCTTCCACAGTATAGTGCAGAGGGGCTGTGTGCGGAGAACTCATTCTAGAGACCTAGGAGACAGCTTAATATATAGAGAGATCAAAACAAAACTCAGAATTATTTCATGCCTTGAGAAGAAAAGAGACAGCAAGAAGTTTTAGTGTAAATGTTGTAGCCAGCCTGCATTTGATTATTTTCTGAATGCACTGTATGTGTCAGACAAAGTTGCAGGTGAAAATCTTTAAGTTTTCACCCTGAGAAATGCTACAACTATTTAAAACATGAATCCTAGAGACCTCTAGAATTCCTGTAATGGTTAACTTTGAGACTCTAGATTAGGCAACTGGAGTAATAAGGTAACCATGTGAGGGATCTTTCTGGAAGTAGAAGCTGCGGGGTTCTTTCAAAGCAAGCTCAGCTTTTAGATACCATTTACTGCCACTTGCTCAGCCCTGTCTTCCTAAATCCCCCAATCTTGATTTGCCTCGGCATTTCCCCCCCAACACTCATCACCTTCTATTATGCTTTGCAGTGTATTTCCTATCTTCATTTATTTTCTGCCTCCTCCTACCCTACTAGAAGGTAAACTCTGTTTTTGTCCTCAGTGACTGTTTCAACCCCAGGGGCCACAACAATGCCTGGAAAGAGGTCAATACTAACTAAATAGCTTTTAAGTGTTTGAACAAGTAAGTCAATCAAAGTGCTTGGGATAGAGATAATAAATAATACAGTTTTCTAAAGCTACTGAGGTTCTCGCTTCATCAAAGAGAGAATATTTAGGTATCCATATTAAAAAGTGGACATCAGGGTAAAAGACTTCTAAACCACATCTTGACATTACCACTGAGCTAATTCTAGTACAATTACATGTAAAATCAGGAGCCCTTCTTTCTGTCTAACTAGACTCTCTTGCTTTGAGGCATGGTGACTGCCATAGAAAGTACCCTTTAGTGAAAAGTCTGCTATTTTGAAAACCTTAGGAAGTTACAATAAGGAATTATGAAAGAGAAAAAAAGAGAGAACAAAAGCCTTTTCTCTTTCTGTTCTTAAATCAATGGCAAAATTGGGGAAAGGGTTACAAATACTACTGTGTGAGTCCAATTAAAATTTGGGCTGTTGTCTTCAAATGCAGTCTCATTTAAAGTTGGTATTATTTGGCTTCCTTCAGGGGCTATGTAACCATTCAGTTAAAGGTTTTCACAGCTCAAAGGCCGGCAGGGCAGCCCTTGAATGCGCTATAGTATGTATGGCAAGTGATACTGTGGCCCAGGCATTCTTTGTAGAGAGAGACTAGAGTATTTTCTTTGCCCACTTCTCCCATTAATTGATGTAAAGAATCAATCTGGAGCAAGTAGCATTGATGGAGTTCCTGTGTACTGTGTTGATAAGGAATTCAAATTCCAGATTACCACATGCTGCCTATAAGGCTGGCAAACTTCTGCCATAGAGAGAGCAATAGCAGGTGTCTACAGAGTGTTCCTATGATGCTGTTTCTGTTATCTACTGTAAAATTCCTATTGTGTTCCCCTGTATGAGTTTGTGCACAGTGTACCAGTGACTTCTATGATCACATGTGCATTACTTGTGTGGGTACCTATTTAGCTTGTTTTCCAGAGAATAAAACCTAGCTCTGAGTAATTCTAACATGGATTTAGAATTTTACAGATTTCCAACTTGCCTGACTCTGGGACTTAAATGTAAAGGAAAGCCTGAATCATTATTGCAAAATGGGTCTGCAGGAATCCAAGCACTGAGAGGTCTCAACCTGAGGAGGAAACCAGGCTGCAAAGCTGTGTGGATTCAGGACGGCTGAGAGCAGTTATTGGTACCTTACATAATGTATTTGTTTTTCATTAAGCCACTTAGAGAAGGTCTTATTAAATACCATGTATTATTTATCATGTTTCTTATGAAAATGAGATGAAGGGAAAATTCTGTCTTCTTCTAGGGGCATTCATGGGCTTTCTCAATGTAACAGAAAAAAAGAAAAAATGAAGAAAGCTGGTACATCCCTGTCAGTCCAGCAAATTGCTTGAGGCAAAAGAAAGGGCTGGGAAAGCAGTCAGGATTGGAGAGGCAGTCTTTAGTGTAAGTCCATATGTGCTTTGTGGAGTGGTTTTCACTCTAGCTTTATGAATTTACAATAAATAAATACATAAATAATAAGTAAAACTAAAAAGAGAGAATCTGTTTATTTACAAACCAGAGCTTGTCTGATGAATATGATTTCTGAGACATTAGATAGGTGAGAATTTTTCAAACTAACCTGTGTCTCTCCTCAAATAAATAAATACACAAACAAACAAGATAAAAGCAGCACATATACTACTCTATAGAATCCGAGTTTGTCAGCTTGACTTCTGCTTGGGGTAAAACAGTCCCCATTAAACTGATGGGATGCATGTGCCGCAAGGTGATTAGGGAAATTGGTTATGGAAGTTGAAAAGCAGAAAGATTGGGACCAAGGTTTGGCAAAAGAGGACTTTATTGATGGCATTTCAAAACATAGTAACATAAAATAAAACTATACAATAATTAATTTCCCTTTCTTCAGGAAGCATTTTGATTAGCCTGCAAAGTGAATAGTGTTTTGCAAGCCAATAGCTCAGGTCTGAAGGAGTCATTCTTCCAGAGTGTCTGATGGACTCAGAGAGGACTCAGTGAGGGTGGCTGTTGTGGCCAGCACTAGGGTCCTGTCATGGATGTTCTATCCTGAGACATCCCTAACTCTCATGGGTGGCCCTGTCCCACATGGCAACACAAATTCTTCAGCAAGATTTCTTTCATGCAACTCAACAACCTCCAAAGATACTGTTCAGACAGTTTACCCCTTGCTTTGAAAACCAAACCAAACAACAGGAAAGAAAATGCAATCATATTCCAAATCTAGATTTTCAAAATATGGCTACTATTCCTGATCACGATTTTACTGTTTTTTTCTTCTCTTCCCCCACTATAGGGACCAAGGATGAGTTAGAGTCCTAATATTTTCTTTTGATTTGTAGATCACATCATGTTTTATTGGTAAAGACTAATGAAACCTACTAATGAATAATTAGTACTTCATAAAATAAATGGGAAGGGGGAGTCCGTCTGCAAGAGCAGAATGTTAATTCGGCCAAGGAGGACTGGCCAGGCAAGGATTGAAAAGCAAAGTAAAACAAATAAACCATTGTAATTTGCTTGCTGCAGCCCACGGAGTGAATGTCTTATCAGACCACAGCTTCCCCACCCTGTGCATTTATAATTGGAGAAGAGAGGGAATTGTAGGCTGGGAGAAGCCCCCTCGCAGTCACCCGCGGAGCTGGCATGTGAGTCCAACAGGCTGGATTTCCAGCCAGCCCGGGTGGATTCTCCCATTGAGTGGCCGGGCTCGGCTGCCTGCCCAGCCAAGGCGAGGCCAGAGGGAAAGCTGTGCCCCAGCGCTCGCTCGGGGCCTCCTGCCTCAGCTGCCCGGGGTGCGCAGACCCCCTCCCCACCGCCCTCACCCCGCTCCTTGGCGACCCATCTGAGCGCTCCACTCTTACAAAGGGGAATCCCTTTCCTATGTTTATTTGCCGACCAGTCGGGCAAACAATCCGCCTCCGAATTCTCCCTTCCGCTCCGGGCCCCAGCGGGGCAGTAGCGTTAATGGTCCAGCTTGCAGCTTGCCTGGATGCTGGCGGGGCTCAGAGCTTGCCTTCCCCGCGGAGATTTTTAGCAGACACAATTTAAATTTTGGTGAATCGTTAAAGAAAAAAAAAAAAAAAAAAAGGAAGTGAGGAAAAAACAGAGACAGACAGACAGAAAGAAAAACCCAGAAACCTTCTCCTGGACCCATTTGACAAATGGGAAGGCAGGCAACATCAACACAAACGGAGTGAGCCTCACTGTGAGTCACCTCTCTCTCTCTCTCTCTCTCTCTCTCTCTCTCTCTCTCTCTCTCTCTCTCTCTCTCTCTCCTCCCCCGTCTCTGTCTCTCCTACCTCCCTTCCCTTCTCTCCTCCCCCCACCCCTCCCTCTCTAGCCCCAGCCTCAGCCCCTTCTATTCGGGTGTCTACAGGAGGGCATCTTTGCCCCTCTACCTTTGATAGAAGTTGCCTTTGCTCTTTCTTGTCACCTTCCCTGGGGTGGGGGCGTGGGGTGCAGTGGCGGGCACCGTCCACTTTAAAGGAAATCAAAACGCAGGCCCAACAAGGCAGCAAAGCGGTGCAGCTTCCAAGGAAACCAACTAGTTTCCTTGTTTCTCCAAGACTCTTAGTTGGAGGCTGATGGAGGCTGCTGGGATCTAGCGGAGCGGAGGCAGGGACAGGCTAGCCAGGGAGGAGGGACTCCCGGGTGCGGTGGGGGGAGGGAGGCAGAAGAGAAGCCTGAGCGAGAGAGAAAAGAGAGAGCCGCCGGGCTTTGACTTAGGTAGTCACCAAATTAAAAAGAAAGAAAAAAAAATTGTAGCGACCAGGAAGGGAAAGAAAAAAAAAATAAAAGAGCATCGTGATTGCCTGCGAGTGTCCCCCTTGTGCTCGGCGGGCGCCAGAGAGACAGCATGCAGCATCCTCTGACGGGGGCCACCTGCGTGGCGCTCCCCAACGTGGGCATGTGTCCCCAGCTATCGTGTGCCTTGACTTTTATGTACTTACAGCAGGTAAGGCGCGCGTCTCCTCTCGGCGGCTGCATCCCTGCGCGGCCACACTCGGTACCGCATCGGTGGGCTGCGCTTCTTGCCTGGCTGGGGTCTGGGGAGGGGCTGATGCGTTTGGAAAGGGGTGGGGGTGCTCTTTTTGACGGAGCCCGGACGCCTCGCGCTGAACATTATTATTTTTTTTTTCACCTGTCTGAATACTTCGAACGCTGGATTCCGATCCTGGGAGTTTGAAATAGAAACCTGCTGTTTTTCTTTCCTTCTTTCCTTCTTTCTTTTTTTCTTTTTCTTTTCTTTTCTTTCTTTCTTTCTTTTTTTTTTTTTATTTTTATTCAAACTAGCATCTTTCTCCTGACAGAGCCTCCTGTGACAGTCAGAGTCCAAGACCCCATTGATGCGGAGAGTTTGGATCTTTTCGGAGGCTTTCTATAGTTTTAATTCAGCTGCTTTAATAGGGAGTGAAACAAAGAGTGAGTGTGAAGTATTTTTGCTTTCTTAAGTTTGTCTTGGGTGGTGTGTTTTCAGGAGGACTGGGATCACATCACTGGCTATCTGGAGTATCTGCCTTCAAACTCCTGGTCAGTGGTGTGATGGAGGTGAGCCTTGTAGGATGCTGGCTTTGTTGGCATGTGCAGAGATGTTTTTGTTTGTTTTATCTCCCTTCCCTCCCCCTTAGTGGTCTTCCTGGGGGATTCTGTTTTTCCACTCAGAGTACATTTCAGAATCTAGATAGGCTTAGTCTGTCTTTCTCTGGGTGTTTCCTGGGGCACTCTGTCTCTCCTTCTTTACTAGAAGGGCTGTTTCCAGAGTTGGTACTTGGCTTGGGAAACAGCTCAACACTACCCTGTGGGGTGACAGGCCAGCTCTGTCATTGGGCAGGGGCTGTGAATATGAATTGGCAGGGAGAATGGTTTTGTGATGCAGACGGAAATCATTTTTCCACCCCAGGATGCCCTTCTTGGTCTATGAAGTTTCCAGTGATTATAATCATTTTGTCTGTTTTTCTGTTCGCTTACTGTAAGGGTACCATTTGTTAACATGTATGCATTTGTGTGTTAATGGACTTCCTTTGCAAGAGTTGAGAGAGGCTTCTTTTCCCCCCAAGATGTGCAGTTTCAATCTGTGTTGTAGCAGCGTGTGTATTCATAAAATGTCAAGATTCTGTTTTGAACATTTGGGTGATTTGTTATCAAGTTGCTTTCCTCCAGAAAATATTTCTTTGGCGTATTCTCTTATACAAGTTTTAATTTTTTTAGACCAGCCTTTAAAAAATTATCTTGGGAACAAATTGGTTTATTACCTTAACATATAGTTTTATTCCATTTCTGATATAGTAAGTCGTGCCAGAAAACACTTCTCAAGAGAGTATTGATAGCATAATTATATGATTCATCTGCTTCTACCATTTCTGCGCCTTTGCTGTGAATGTATGTTAAATATGTGTGTATGTGTTTTACATCAGTTACCCACCAGAAGAAGATCTTAATAAACATTTGTATAGATGCTAAGCCTCAGTTGGAATGAATCAAATGATTGATATGAGTTGATCTTTAGCTTCTTACATTCACTTCTTTCCTGGGGTTTGTTAATCCTTTGGAAAGGCATTACCTAGCAAATAGAATGCTATAGGTATAAAATGTTCTCACAGTTTCTTTGTGTGTTGTGTTTTTAAATTCAGCTATGTTTCTGCCTTCTAGATTGGTGGACTGGTTTGCTCATTTAAGCACAACTTAGGGAAGAAGGCAGTGACTTTGAGTGAGAGGTCATTCTTGCAGTGAAAAGGACAGCATGCAGAATAAATATGGGGGTTCGCAGCATGTTCTGGGCAGTCTCTCCCATGAGGGAAAGCACCCTGCAGTGGAGAGGGGTGGCTCAGAGAAAATGTTGGCAGCCATAACAAATATTTAGTAGTGACTCAATCAACATTGCAGTCCCACGTGAAGATAAATGGAAGGTGGGTTTTGACATGTGCTTTGAACTACACCCCCTTTTTGAAAGAACTTGCAATGCTTTTAGGGAAAGTGATCATAATGTGATACTGTGACATAATGTCAAACTCGTTTGTGTGTGGTGTGGTATGTGTTTTCCCAGAGTTTCACTAGATGTCTGAAGTGTAGGACCGACAGACATTTATTTTTGCCAGTTTTATTTAGAATCAATGTTTCTAGACATATTCCAGAGGCTCACTATCAGAGAGCTAAAACTTGAGGTCACCCTTGCTGCTTATTACTGTCATGATAATTTGTGTTGAAATCTCTCAGATTATTACTTTTATTTAGCAATCTGGTCAATTACCTGATTAAGACTGTGAAACAGCTCAGTTTAATTTCCACAAACTACAGACCACACATCTCCATATACATAACCACTATACCTTTTGTCTATTCTTAATCTATAGCTCTTATTATATTCTAATCAAATTTTTATGAACAGAGAGCTAATCTGTACTTTCAAAATATGTTGACTGAATGACTGAATTGGATAACAGTTATAAGTAACAGCTTCACTGGAAACATTTTGTTTTATATTATTTAGGCATAAGCATATTTCAGAAGTCTTTGTCATCGAAATCGCCAACCACATATAAAGACAATTAAAACACAACATTCTTATTTTAAATTTTTTATCTTTCTGTTTTAAAAAGTACAAGTTCTGATCTGGAGTCAATCCATCTTCACTGAAATGTATTTTCTCGCAGTAAAGTTTCATATAGGGCTTATTTCTTATTTAATGTCTAAGGAAAATTACTTCATTATATGCTTTCCTTAGCTCAGTATTGACATCCAAGTTCTCGTCATAAATTCTCTCAGATTTGTTCTTAAGACAAATCATGAAAACAAAATCAATTGGGATGTCTCAGCATTCAAGTCTACTCTAAATGACCAAGTGAAAATAATGTAATCCTTTTGCTTCAAATAATATATACTCCAGCCAATGAAGAGGAAACCTTGGCATTTACATTGTTTGACTTACTCCAATTCATTTGTTTATATTTCCTAGTAACTTTCCTTTAAATAGATGTTTTCCTGCTGTTACAATTTCTTTCCTTCTCAATTTTTTTCTTCTTTTAACATCCGAGATTTTGCTAAGGTTCGAAACTGCAAGATGCCATGAAGTTGAATAGTCCCTTTGGCATCAGGATATTGGATCCTATGACGTCATCATGTCAGTATATACACATGCACACCTTTCCTGTACATGGCATACATCTGTGGTTGTAGACCACTTTCCAGTGGAAGGGACAGGTGATCTCTCGTGCTGTTGGCTTTAATCTTACTGTTTCTGTTCGGGGAAAGTCTCTGCTTCAACCTCGCAGCCCAGATGTACTGCAGTGGCTTTATTTGGTGTCTTCTCTGATGGTGAATCTTTTTTTCCCCAGCTGAACTTCTAACTCTACATAGTTTCAGAACAGAATCTTCTCAGAGGTCCAAAGTGGGCACTCACTTAAATATTCACTCTTTGAGGGAAATGTCTGAATACTAGTTCCAAATCTGGAGTTTTATTACCAGTGAGTGCAAAAGGAAATACGTTTTGTTTTCTTTGTAGAGAATACACACACACACACACACACACACACACACACACACACACACATACACACAAACACACACACCACAAAACCTAGAGATATGTTTTTACTCCAAGTCATGGGGGCAAAGCACAAGGAATCAATCCTTGATAAGGTAGAGTGTGGCTACCGGGAGGCCAGAGATGGAGGTTACTTTTCTGTGCAAATCGCATGTCGTGTTGCCCTCAGAGCTCTGTAGCATACTAAGTCCTAATTCCCTAAAAAAGATCAGTAGCACTTAGCTTTCCTGCTCCCAAACCACTGTCAGTGTCTCCTATTTCTGTTCTAAGAAGACTTCTCATCCTTCAAGTCCTTTTCACTTCAAACATTTTAATCAGCCTAAATTTAACAAAAAGGCAAATACTTAAAATCCACATTAAAGAGGGGAACAAGGACCCTCTAAACTGGGCCATACCACTGTCAATATTCGAAGATTGGTAATTTTTCCCACTTAATGATGATCCATGTGGTTTGTTTTAAATAGTGAAGTGGTTTGTACAAAGGGTAATTCCTGGTAAATGAAGTCATTGCTCACCATGGACATCTTCAGATCGAAAGCAATTGAGCTGAAACCTGCATATCAACCCTTTCTGTCTTTAATTAGAAAGTGGTTCTCACTGCAGAGTCATCAGAAAGGCAAGCTCTCACATGCAAACTGAGATTGTATGGGGATCAGCTCTGTGCACCAGCCATGGTTATGAATTTGGTTAACATCAGGTGGGCCTTAACAGTCATGGCTGCGTGCAGAAGTTCAATCCTTGTTGCAGTTCTTACCTGGTGTCACTCAGTCTGATGATTTATACCAGGACAAATGGCATTTTATCACATTTTAGCTTAATCCCGTGTTGATTTATTAGATAGTGCTGTGGATCCGGGTAGTCAGTTGTGTCAATAACGCTGCAAAGAATTAGAATCGATTATCTTCACGTCTGAATTGTTTAAAGGAATTTAAGTGGCTGATGTGAGCACATTTCCAGGCCCGATTGTCTGTGTCATGGAAAATGTGGCCTGCTGTGTCTTTCTTGAGACAATTAATGTCATAAGTCAGTTAATTAGTCAAACTTTCTTGATCGTTTCTAGTGAGAAGGGAAGGAAAGGATGACTGGGCTGTTAGCTGCACAGTGGCCCCATTACCAGTGGACAGGGCCTGTTGTATACCCCCACTGCAAGAACCTATCAGAGGGATCCCAGACATCTCTCCCTCCTGTTGATTACAGGGTGACTTGGGTTGCCTCTGCATTAAAGCTATATAATTCAGTATGCATTGGTGAGAACTGTAAACATCTGTGCATCTGCAGACTCGAGTGTGCGCCACCCAGCTTTCTGCTGCTATTTTATGACTGTCCATGTCAGAACATGCAATCGGCCACTCGGTATTTGCCCGACTAGAGAAAGCCCACATCATTAGTGCTCATGCGCCATCTGTTTTCCTTACAGCTAGCCCTTGAGTAATTGTCCAGTGGTTGATAGACTGAGGGTAGACAATAGTTTTTCGGGTTTTCTGATTCATTTAACCAGTCTCTCTGCCCCAAGATGAAACATAATTCTTGTTTATTCATATTGGCTGGGTAAAAACAGTGTCGTTCGTCAGGCAAATCATCATCTTCTGGCAGGGAAAGAAATTGCAGCATTGTAAAACAAAATCAGGTTGGTGCCTCTGTGCCTGGGGCTGGGGTATTGGTAGGGAGCAGGAGGTATCATCCCCAGAAGGAGGCAGGGCTGACAGGCGTGGGTGTAATTGTTCCATCTGCAGAGACCTTTTTAATGGACAGGGAGAAGTGTCCCAGTGTGCTGTTTAATTCAATTAAGCAAAGCAAAGAAAGTTCCATTCATCA